GTACAATAAAGTTAATTGTACTACAATTTGGTCATCGTTAGCATTTATTTAACAATCCAGCGATACGAGCCCGAGTATATTTGGGAAATCCCTCAAGGTTTCGAGGATAATCGTAACACTATCCTCACTAGAGGAACTAATTGGTACGAAAACGCCAAACCGATCGAAATTGGTGATGTGGTCCTCATTGTCAATTCAAAATTACCACGATACTCTTGGCCGAAAGGAATCGTGGTTTCAACTGTGCAAGCCATGAACGAAAGACACAAGATCACGTAAGAACAAGAGAGTGAAAAAAGTCGATTTTTTTTAGCAGGTTCTACGCCATCTTGTTTTACTGGAAAACGAGCGAAAAATAAACAAAGCAAAGAAAACAACGAAAACCAAAATTAGCCAAAATTATTGTCAGCCACTTTAAACGCACAATTTAGGTAAAATGATGTAACAAAATGCTTTAAAATGTGTTGTCATGTTTAATTAATTCTTCTTTACTTGAATAAAAGTGTAAAATAGTGGTGCTTGTGATGTAAATAAACGCTCAGCTGACGAACCCGCTTTCGCAAACTTTTTTCTCAAAACCAGTTACATATACAACGTCGCGTTCTTACGTGATCTTGTATTTTTAGTTCATGTGTGCAAGCACGAGATGGTTAGTAGTGGGATTCGCCATTCTATTTTAACGATTATCGAATCGTTAAGAAAACTTAACGAATATTTTAACGATTTGACCGCAGAACTCTACAGGCGAACACTGATGGCCTACCAACAGTCATTTTGACGAGCAATGCAAGTTTTTGTGTGTGCGCACTTTGATGCCTTGAAATAAGCTTTTGCCGCATGACGCCACCAGAAAACATTCTCCCAATTTCGGCGTTTAAAAACATTTAAATCTTTAAAAAACTTTCTGAATAATTTCCTAAAATGTAATCATAAATAATCCAATAGGGAACAGATTTTTATTTTGATTTGATATCAAAATTTCATCGATGTTACCACCAGCACGCTTTCTTTCAAATGAAAATATGGCTGTCAAACTATCGAATTGCCTGCAATAGATGTCAAGAAATAAGCGCGGACATATATTGCAGCACATGAGAAATAGGCGCTATGCATTGGAAATATATTTTGTGACATGGTTATCACGACATCAGTGTTTTCCTGTGCGATTTTATTTATTTAGTAAATAATTTTAAAGGTAGAGATTGTATAAAAGAATTAAACTCTTAATATGGTTTAATTCACTTTCATTGCGTGCTTAGATTTTTATTATAATTTAAATTAAAATTAAAGCAAATAGTTGAATTAATTTGTATTAATCTTCTTATTCTGAATTGAAAGAAAGGGGATTTTTTAATATTATTTTTAATTCTTTTTATTTATGTGCATATGTGTGCATACGTAATATTGTATTAATTCAATATTTGGGAATAAGGGGCGCTTAACAAAAAAGTTTGTCGCCTGTACGATTTGTTCAAAACTCACCAAACATTATGCCCCTCCCTTCCCATTATTAGTAAGTAAAAAATCCAATTCCCAATCCGTATTAAACATTCTTACCGTGTCTTGCATCGACTCGATTGCTCGAAGGTTTCCCATCGATTGAGCATGATCACAGCAAAACCCTAATCGTCGGCATCACTGATTCATAGAGTATGCTTATGTATCTGTGAAAGCGCGCAGTTTTTCTCGTGTACGTGTGAAAGCAGAAGAGAAAAATTTGGCACGCGTGCCTATGAAATGGCCACCCTTGATCTAAACCGATAACTTTATCAAGCAGATAATCTTATAACCCTGCCAGCCACGGCTCACCACTTTCCCCTAAAATTCAATCGATTTACAAACACATTCACAACTTTTTAGTCATCTCACCCACACACTTACAAATTTTTTGTTCGAACTGTCAAAACATGTCCCTTTGTTAGAGCTACATACCCGATAAGAATTCGTACTCTAAGAAGAATTCTATGCGTTAGAGCGAGCAAGTTAGAAACATCAGAGTTTTGATGACAGTATAAATACGCATTTAAGTAAGAATACGTATTTAACAATTTTATTTAATTATAATGTAATTTCTTCTTTTAGATTGCAAAACAGCAGCGACTTAGTCACATTCTTAAGGTATGTATTGAGACTTTTTATATGTTTATAAATTTTAATTGATATTTTTGCTTGTTTACAGATTCACTATCAGCACCTTCAACGCTTGCATCTTCATCGCCAGGAGCACCATTAGAACCTTCTGCCCTCAGCTTCTTCATCGCCAGGAGCACCACCAGTACCTTCTACCCTCAGCTCCTTCATCGCCAGGAGCACCATGAGTACCTTCCGCCCTCAGCACCTTCAANAGTGAAATCGCTGGAGAAATTTATCAGAAATGTGTAAACGAGTTTCCATACAATTATTGACAGTTCATTTATAAGGTTTACACAATTATAAGTTTATACGGTTTACAATGCATTTATAAGGTTTGATGAATACCGTCAATATATAAAAGAAAACTTTTTTGTAAAAAATGGCATTTGAGTATTTGCCATACGTTATATCACAAGATGAGGAGATAATAAGCCCTTCATCAGTAGATAGACCTTTGAGAAGTGGACAACCTTTTCCACTTGACTGCAACTGAGTTTCGTAACCTTTACCGATTAACCCCAGACTTGGTTGAAGATATTGTTTCCCAGCATGATAGCCAATTAAGGGGTCGAAGAATAACTGCGATAAGGACAGAGAAACAGGTATATAATGTAATTTTCAAGTATTTTTCAATTTTAAATGCTTTTGTAAATTTTAAAGGTTCTAACTGCCTTGCGATTCTTCGCAACTGGTTGTTATCAACGTCCCGTCGGAGAGCAATATCCCCTATTGCCAGTCAACCGTAAGTCGCTATATACGTAACGGATGCAATAAACCGCACCATGTTTTTGGCAAAGGTTAGGTTTCCAATGACCCAAATAGAGCGGCAAGCTGCAAAAGAAATTTTCGCCTCAGCATCCGCACCATTTGTAGGAGGTACTGTTGGGGCTATCGATCGCACTCATGTGTCAATCATGAGCCCAAAAAATCATGAAGAAGCGTATGTCAACCACCATGGATACCATTCTATCAATGTGCAAATGGTAAGAGTAAAATTTGCTCAAGGGTTAAACTACTGAGAATTAATTTTATTTTATACAAATATATAATAAATATAGATATGTGATCCAAATATAAGATTTTGGCTGTCAATGCTAAATACCCAGGAGCACGACATGATTCAATTATTTGGAGCTCCTCTGTAGTCCGGAGAGTTATGCAGCGAAGTTTTGAAATGGTTTCCATGTTTTTGATTGGTAACTTTTTAAATCCACTGAAACGTATTTATTAAAATCAATTTAATTGAAAATGTCAAATATATATTTGCAGGTGACTCAGGATATCCTTTGGAGCCGTGGTTGATGGCTCCTCACCAAACCAACCAGAAGGGAGTCCTAAATTCCGCTATAATGAGGCATTGTGCAAAGCTCGAAACCCAGTTGAGGGACTTTTTGGCGTTCTCAAAGGAACTTGGCGATGCTTATCTCAGCCAAGGACTCTTTTGTAAGATCCTGGATTTACTGGAAAAGTAGTAAATGCATGCACAGTGTTGCATAACTTGCGATTGGATGACCAAACATACGCTCCCGAGACTGAGTTCCTAGATCCAAGAACAAATAGCAGTAATGTCGAAGTGTATAATTCCACTTCGTTGGATTAACGGGCGTACCTGTTACGCGTGGAGCCCTGTTGCTCCTCCGGCTCTGTTGCCGTCCAACGCTCGCTCTTGCATGGAGCCATAGCGCTCCCTCGATGCTGCCGTATTAGGCAGTGCTGCTACAATTGCTGGCGCTGCAGCTCTGCTGCGGTACTTCACGCGGAGCCCTGGTGCTCCACCGGCTCTGCTGCCGGCCAAACGCTGGTAGCCAGCAATTTTCGGGTTGAAGTAACGCGCAATAATGCCGCTAATTTTATTTTCACTTAAAGACTTAAAGTTAGCTGCTTTCGCCGATACAACAGGGTTGCATCAATATTGTAAATTCTTAGATGTAATCTATTACCTTAGGCGAATTCATATAAGGTGATTTTTAGGGTTGCAACATGTATGCTTGATCGCATTACATCACCCTCCTTGGGAAAAGAAGGATTTGGCAAGGTGATCAATTTGGCCATATTCTTCTTGCTCCATTTATATTTAGAATTAAATTGTTTTGAAGGAACGAATTTGGATTTGATTGAGGAATATTACATAAATATGTTTTTAATTGAATATGAAAAAATGGAAATTCAAGTTTCTTTTATATAAATATATACATATAGCATTTGTTGAAAAAAATTTTTAAAGTTTGATTTTAACAATGCATAAAAAATGCTTTTTGGTTTAGCAATCCAATTCATTTTTTTTTGTGAAACATCCTTAATATCCAGTTTTATGGAAAAATATATTCTAAATACTTATAAAAGTTTGTTTTTTTCGTTTTTTTTTTCTTTTGTGCTAGATTTCATATTGAAAATTTGTACATTTCAGATTATTGTTCTGTTTTTTGAACATTTTTTATTTTTGTAATAAAAGAAAAATTAAAAGTAATTATACGTATATACATATATAAGAAAATTTGTTTTATTTTATTTTATGGATTCTATTTTTGTGTACTATTTTTTCTTTTTTTCTGATTTTGTCGAAAATTGTTACGTTGACTCCGTCAATATTTGTTATGACGTATGGACCTTCATATATTTTTGTATGTTTATCGCGTGGTTCCTTTTGAACTAAGACCGTATCATTTAAATTAACTATTAACGGACGCGTGGTCTTGTTATATACCGTTTGGTTTCGAATTTTGTGTTTGTTAATAAGTTCTTTTGCAAGCGCGTGTGATTTTTGCATTCTGTATTTGATTTCTTTCGAATAATTATCGATGTTATATATCGGATAAATTTTTACATTTTGTAATTCGGTTGGTAAAATTGCTTTTCTACCGAATACTAATTCAAATGGTGAAAGTTTGTTATCAAATACAGAACTTTTTCATGATGCAATAATGCAGGTGTTATCAGTTGCCAACTTCTCGCTCTAATTCCGCCATATTGACTGCCTTAGGTGAGACAGTGTTACTTCTTTAACAATTCCTTGCCTAATAATATAGTTGAATATTTTTTTATTTTTTCTCAGTATACACATTTTTTTTTCTTAAAAAGGTATTTTATCTTATTTTATTTTATTTTATTACGAATATACTATAAAAAAGCTAATTTTGTTTAGGAAAGAATGTGAAATTTTATATTTTTCCCCCAAATGGGGCTTAATTTCTTCCCGTTTTTCTTCTCGTTCTACTGAGCTTAGGCAGTGTCAAATCGAGCTGTCACAATTGATACCATCTTGTATTATTGCATCATGCAACTTGTTGTTGTGTTATGCAAAAATGTGAAGTATTTCAAATAAACGTCCCAATCGGACCAAGTTTCATTTAAATACGCGCGTAAATATTAATTAAAGACACGGTGGTTTCGTTCAACAGTACCAACAGTTTCGTGGTGATGTGATGTCGAGAAATTGTGCTGGATTTTCAAAAGTTTGGTTAGTTCCGAAAAAAGTTCATTTTTAAATTCGGTGCCCAAATCGGATTTTATAGTGTTCATAATGCCGTATGTTAAGACAAAGCTTTCAAAAATTGCAGAAGCTATTGTTTTTGCGCTTTTATCCCGTGTGGCTATTGTTACTAAATATTAGCTTAAGTCGCATATAATGGTTACTGCGAACCTATTACCATTAATGGACTCAGGCAAGGGTCCTATTGTGTCTATAACTACAACATCAAAGGGTTTGCAAGGCGTTAGGGTTAGTACTAAATTGTCTTTAGTTTTAGGTTTTACTTTATTTAATAAACATTTCTCACAGCTTTTTACGAATTTAGCAATATTGCGTGTCATATTTTTCCAATAGTATTTTGTACGTAATTTTGCGTAGAGTTTTTTGTTTCCGCAATGTGTGCCTGATATCGGGTCATTATGGTAAATTGTCATGAGTTTAAGTTTCCACAGGGTCAGTTATTGTTTCCACAGGGTCTGTCAAAAATTTGTTTTCTTCCAATGACGTAGTTAGAAGTGAGTTCTGATTGGCTGAAATATTTTACGAAGAAGAAGAGTATACAAAACGCAGAAAATATAGTTGCCGTATGGCATATTTTAGGAACTAATATTAAATGGGACTTTTGGATATAAAATATTGAAAAAGCTTATTATAACAACAAAATGTTATAAGTTCACGTGAAACTGGATTAATATAATAATATTCGTACAAATTAAATGTGAACAAAATGCTTTTTGAAATTAGGTAGTGATTATATTCAACAATTTTTATGAGCTCGAGGCCGTTTTCAGTGAAAACTTATTGTGAAATATTAGTGAAAAGTAGCAAAGTGAAATAGTGGAAAATAAGCAACAAGAATTAACAAGACAAACTTGCACAGTGGATAGGCAACTGGCTGAGTCAGTGGTAATCGTTGGTTCGAATCCTACTGAAAGAAGTCTGATGAGGAAATGTGGTGATTTCCGAAATAGCTATCACTTCTACCATTTTTTCAAATTATTGTTGCTTTTCCACAATAAATTTTCATTTAAAAAACGGCCTCGAGCTCAATATAAATTGTTGAATATAATTGTTATAAGGCCAAAAAAATAACAAAAACAAATAACTTAAGGACGAGCACACCTAAAAGTTAAACATTCTAAAAATAGAATTATTAGCAAAAACCAACAATACCAACAACCACATGATCAAGTGAATTGCAGCGGAATAGCTGCGCTTGATTGTGTTGGCATAACAAAAATGAAAATAGTGGAAAAAAGCAAACGATAATTTACAAGGCGTACTTAGCACGGTGCATAGGCAACTGGCTGAGTCAGTGGGATCGTCGGTTCGAATCCTACTGAAAGAAGTCTGATGAGGAAATGTGGTGATTTCCGAAATAGCTATCACTTCTACCATTTTTTCAAATTATTGTTGCTTTTCCACAATAAATTTTCATTAAAAAACGGCCTCGAGCTCAATAAAAATTGTTGAATATAATTGTTAAAAGGCCAAAAAAATAACAAAAACAAATAACTTAAGGACGAGCACACCTAAAAGTTAAACATTCTAAAAATAGAATTATTAGCAAAAACCAACAATACCAACAACCACATGATCAAGTGAATTGCAGCGGAATAGCTGCGCTTGATTGTGTTGGCATAACAAAAATGAAAATAGTGGAAAAAAGCAAACGATAATTTACAAGGCGTACTTAGCACGGTGCATAGGCAACTGGCTGAGTCAGTGGGATCGTCGGTTCGAATCCTACTGAAAGAAGTCTGATGAGGAAATGTGGTGATTTCCGAAATAGCTATCACTTCTACCATTTTTTCAAATTATTGTTGCTTTTCCACAATAAGTTTTCACTGAAAACGGCCTCGAGCTCATAAAAATTGTTGAATATAATTGTTATAAAGGCCATAAAAATAACAAAAACAAATAACTTAAGGACGAGCACACCTAAAAAGTTAAACATTCTAATAATAGAAATATTAACAAAAACCAACAAAACCAACAACCACATGATCAAGTGAATTGCAGCGGAATAGCTGCGCTTGATTGTAGTTGGCTTAGCAAAGTGAAATAGTGGAAAATAAGCAACAAGAATTAACAAGACAAACTTAGCACAGTGCGTAGGCAACTGGCTGAGTCAGTGGTGATCGTCGGTTCGAATCCTACTGAAAGAAGTCTGATGAGGAAATGTGGTGATTTCCGAAATAGCTATCACTTCTACCATTTTTTCAAATTATTGTTGCTTTTCCACAATAAGTTTTCACTGAAAACGGCCTAGAGCTCATAAAAATTGTTGAATATAATTGTTATAAAGGCCATAAAAATAACAAAATCAAATTAGGTAGTGATTTTATTCATTTTCCTTTTCTTATTATCATATGAGTATATATGTACATTCGTGTACGAAAAAATATTTGTTTTACTTTATCACTGCAGTCTTCATGTTTCGCTGCCTCAAGATGTTTCTGCAAGTAACCTTCCGTAAGGAAAAGCCCTTCTCGATTTGTCTCCTTAAAAATTGTGTTCAGGGCTGTCATGTGCTCTAACATACATCCTGTGGGTTTGGTTAAGCCTCCTTCAGATACATGATCTACCCACGAGAATGTGGCCTGGCTGGTGTCAATCAAATCAGGCTCTTGATTTTTTAGTCTGAAGCAGATGTATCCGGATAGGTGCTATAAGCCGTCTATCTCCAAAGATTCTTCTTCATCTGTCGGCGGCTCTTTCGTGCCAATCTCTATTTCCTTGGAAAATGAACGTGGAAGTATTCCTTTAAATCAAGTTGGATGTGAACTAAAAGAAGCCATACACGTAGAGGGATTACCAGTAAGGGGACTTTCAATAGATTCCAAATCGGGAGTGTTGTCTGGTTGCATGTTTGTGTTGCTTGACAAGGCGTCTTGGTTACATCCAAGCAAATAGTTACGCAGCCGGAACCGGAACTCTTCGCGGTCGGGGTGGTTGTTAAGGTTCGAATAAGGCCAAACAAGTTTTAAATTATGTCTTGGTTCAGTCTATAGGTCAGTATGTAGTTCAGTCCGTATTTTTGCTTCAATTCTGTGTAAAGCAGACGTACAGCATTGTTTGTTTGCAAAATACCTTTATAAATAATAAATATGCAAGTCAATGAAAGAAAAGTAAAAGTTTCATTCCCATACCTTTTTGAAAAGCCAGCAAAGTATATTTTCCAATTACTCGGAGTTGCTTTATAAGCTCGTCCATTTGGCTTAAAATTGACATCTGCTTGTCAAGCGCCAATCCAAACCCATGACACCATTCTCGACAACCATCTTTTGGAACCCGCACATTGAGAACATCGAACTAATCATTTGTCTACAAGTAATACATTTTCAACATTTAGGATAACAGTTATAAGTTGGTATAATATAACCATTTATGCTTACACCTTTTAATAACCGTGACAATTCTTTCCAATTTTCACCGTTTAAGCCACCCATACCATCGTGTGAGAAAACAATTTCGTTGCAAGTGATACCTTTTGCCGTTCGGTACCGTAAACGCGAAGATGTTTTGCTGCAATTTTGTGGGTGATAGTAACGTCCGTTGATGTGAGAGATAAAATTTTCTCTATAAGGCCTTTGGTAACACCTTTACCATCTATCCGGAACCCATGAACCAAAAAGTTGTTCCTAACTAATTTAATAAGGTGGGGAACATCCGCGAAAGCAAACACCTTTTCATTTTCGTACAAAAACCTGTAGAAGAGAATTTCTTATTCGTCATAACTAGAGAACGACCGAACTTCGTCTTTGGCTTCGGCCATTAGTACCAGGGATTTTCTGTTGTTACTCCTATTTCTGTAAACAATCCGCGGTTTCCACCTCCCAGATCGCTTACCACTGCCACGACGTTAAAGTTACACTGTCTTACTCTTTTAATAATGTCAAATATGATCGCTTTAGTCATTTGCTGGTCAAACTCAAAATATACTGGCTGCTTCCACTTTCCTACAAGCCCTAGTTATAAGTATATTTATATTAAATAATATCTTCGAATTCCAGGTAACTAGTTTCAACAAACCTCTAAGCATAGCTACTTGTACATAATTAGCGGGAGAGAGTAGTATCCAAAGATTTGTTGTAGCAGTACTTCTTCTTAACTTTCATCTCATCGTAGCTCAAAACGCAAAGCCTTTGAATATCGCTAAGTTAGCTTGAGCACCGGGTCAATGATACCAGGAGAAATGTCTAGCTTCTGTGCAAACCTCTGTAAAGTCCTTATTGGACGGCAAAGGGAAATTTGTTCGACGAAGCAGCTTGTAAGCTCTCGCACTTGCAGAGTATAGCGTAATTGACTGGGCTACATCGGCTTCAGACCAAGTCATACGTTTTCGTTGTTTTTTATTCTATGTATTTGGCTCGGAGTGAAAAGTAGCTTCAGCTTGCTTTCAATTTGCTGATTTTCGGACATTATCTTTTGAAGCTTTATCTGAAGTTCTGCAATGGTCCTGTCTTTCGCAGCTTGACTTCTTTCAACAAAAAGTTTTCCGTTTTCAACCGTTCACTATGTTAACGTATTTATATAAATATATATGTAAAAAAATAGTTCAATAATAGATTTATTAATTTTTTTACTTACATATCCAACTCCAAATATTTTTTATAAAGATCATTCACTTCATATTTTTCAGCTTTTTCTTGGCCCTTAACCTCTATGTATGTATATATTGTTATTGCGCGGCAAGGATGGACTACTGGTATTTTCGACATTGGTGCAGAGCGGTGAAAATACCGTTGGATTAACCCCTGGCTTCAAATTAAATCCACCTCCTTTTGCAAAGCCCTGTTTTTCAATGCAATATGTTAAAATCGCAACTAAAATACGTTTATATGTATTACCCATTTCAAATTGCATATTTCTTTCAAAGTCACTGTCTTGAAAATGAGCGGAACACACTAATTTTTGAATGAAAAGTTTTCATCACGTTGGCAAAATTTCACCCACTCTCGAAATTGCAATTCATCTTTAGCTATCTTTAGCGTAATTTTTGCAATTCGAAACAGCACACTTCATTTTTTAATAAATTCAATAAACTCATAGACGCACAAATAAGAAAGAACTTCAACGCAGATTGTCAAACGGTAAATCTTAGGGTTACACATATTTAAAATAAAAAGTGATGTATTTTTTACTAAAGTAATGTGTTTTTATAAGATAGTTTTTAAGAATATGGCAACTCCAAGAATTGGGCCATCTACGTCATCAAGATGGCGGACATGGCTGATGTCGTAACCTTGTATTCTATGAACCTTGATAATTTGTAAAGATTTTAAAACTTTGTTTCCGCTAATTTTTAAGTCTGTAATCGAAAATTGTTCAAAGAATGAGTAATTTTTTTGCCATTCAATTTCTTTAATGTTATGATTGCTTGCTTGATTGCTTGATCTTGAAGCCTCAAAAGTAGCTCATCTAAATTCGCTATTTTGTTAACAACCTCAAAATTAATTAACTCGAGTTTTTTATGTTTTAAATGCGCATATATGTTAATATTTGAAAAATCATCATTCTTATCGTAGGTAATTTTTGTTTTTATCTGTGGAATGTTTTTTGAAAAATTATAAGAAAATTTGTCGTAAACTTGTACTGTGGAGTTATTTGTGTGATTTTCTTCGTACTGTGGTTGCATTTCTACGTTTTGTTTTGTCATTGATCGAGTTTTTACTGCTAAAATATGTTTTGTTGTGTCTTTAAGTTGGTCAATTGTGATTCGTGATAGTGCATCCGCACCAACGTTTGTTTTGCCTTTTATATATTGTATTGTAAAATTGTATTCCGAAAGTTCCAGTCTTATTCGCGAGAGTTTTGACGAAGGGTCTTTCATATTTCATATTAAAAAGGTAAACTAATGGTCGGTAATCAGATTTTACAGTAAAGTGTGTGCCATAAACTGTAATCACCTTAGTGGGAGAGTTTGGTTAAGCGGAAAATCGTTTTAACTAGCTAAAAGAAAAGCCGAACGGGACCCTTTTATCATGGCTAGGCTTCAGTGGCTGGGGAGGTTCTTGGCAATTCTACCGCTATCCGCACTAGGACATTTTATTATTGTAGAGTCCCTCGAAACATGCTAAAACAAAAACCAACAAAATTTAAATGGCCGGTATACTAAAACAACAAAAAAACAATCAACCGGAACTCCAATGATGGCCTCTCAACAAAACGAGAAAAAAAATCAAGATGGCATTTGATTTGTGTGGCTCACAACCCACCCATCCACGGTTTACAAATGGCCGACATTTCCGCGTAAACCCCAATTGTGTTTGTCCGTTTTTGTTTTTTTCTCTCACTATATACCTATGTATATATATATATATACGTATACATATTTTTATTTTAGGTTGTTCACTGCTTGGTAAATTCAGGTTTTTTTTTTTTCTGATTTAAAAAAATTTTTCCTGCTGCGGTCGTGGATTTTCAATTAAAATTTGTTTGATTTTTTAAAGGACTGGATTGGTTCTCCTTCACTTCTCCTTCGTGGGATTTTGTGTTTAAGCCCTTCCGACTTGGATCCCTTCTTTCCCGGTGACCGTCGCGTAAACGGCGCGACCGAAGCGTGGATAGACAGTGCACGCACCGGTACCTGGCGATCTGGTTGGCGATGAGCCAGATCTCACATCAGAGCTTTGAAGCTTTGGACGCTCTAGTGATTTGTTAATTCAGCGCTACGAAAACAAATAAAAACGTATGAGGAGAGGTCAGGGATGCTTTGCATAATATGCGTTTATAAGAAAGGCTTAGAAAGATGGGACAAGAATTTTCTCCCCCGCAAGAAAATTTGAATAGGTACTAATGGAACATAAATCGTTTCTAAGTACGGAAAGGAATTAAGTTTCCACCGGAAGAGCAAAAAAACTACTTTAATTTTCTTACCACATGTATATGGATCCCCTGGTTAATACCGATGCACCAAGATAAAGTTTGTCTATCCAACGTCTGTTCAGCTCCACCGTCCAAGGAAAAAGGAAGTGCTAGGCAAAGCTGACAGAAGTAGTAGGTCTGGACACAAGTACTTGGCGGTAGTTGTCAAAGTTGGTAAAACTGTTTGCTTGATAAGAAATGAACACTGTTGCATGCTAAGATAAAATTCGCATGCGAGAAACAATACTGTTTGCGCAAACCGTTTAAGTTAGACAATTTTAAGCAAAAATAACTAATCTAATCGAACAAGCTTTTAAATAGGAGGTGTTTGAATTTCGTGAACGCTACAAAACCGGATAACCGGCCATCCATGGATCAGAAGGTTAGATGGAATTTTGAAAAATCACTGCCGGATATCTTTTGCATGAAAGGTGCCAACCGTACGGCCTTGTAGATCTTCAAGCAAGTAGTAATGGTTTCCAAGCTTTTCTTTTACTCGAGCCTTCAGGAATTTAGGACTGAACTTTGCATTAATATTTTTTGAAAAATCGCTTTGAACAAAATTGCGCCGAAAGACTTCTTGGCCAATTTGAAATGTAACTGGTTTCGTTCGCAAATTGTATTGCTTGGCATTTCTCTCGTAGGCTATTTTCATGTTTGTCTGAATGTCCTTTCTCAAAAGTGCCGTCCTGTCAGTTTGCTTAATGGAGAAGTTTGATTCTTCCAGCATACCTAAGTCTCTTAACAAACGATACTGCGAGGCGTGGGAGATCATATTGAAACCGAATAAAACTTCATATGGTGTACGATTAGTTGACTGGTGAATGGAAGTCCTTAGAGCACAAGAAATACTGCTTAGGTGTTCATCCCACGCTTTGTGATCGTTTTTAATATAGGCACGTATTGCCGCAATCAACGAACGATTGACGCGTTCGGATGCATTGCTTTGTTGAGAATACAATGCGGTATATATAAGATTGATTCCATACTCTGTTAAAAATGCATTAAAATTGTTAGATCTAAATTGTATGCCGTTATCGCTTACTAAGATCTCCGGTACACCGAAACAATGAAACACCTCCTTTAGTAAAAACTCTTGGATGACGGTAGACGTGAATTTTCGCACTGGGCAAAGCCAATGAAATTTGCTGAAATGGTCAACAATTATTAATAGTCCAATGTTGCCCTTGCGACTGCGGGGGTATGGCCCTAAAAAATCTGCATACAGCCGTTGGAACGGGCGAACCGAAACGGATTGGTTTCCCATCGGTGGTCTTAAAATCTGATTGGGGGCTTTGGTTTCCTTACAAATTTGACAACTGCGAACATACTCCCGTACCTGTTTCACTAAGCCTGGCCAGAATAAGATCGCCTAATACGCTCTATCGTTTTGTTCATCCCTCCATGTCCGGCTATGACACAGTCATGGGCTCGCCGAATTACGTCTGCGCGAAGTTTTTCGGGAACCCATAACTTCCACGCTTGCTCCTCCTGCAAAAGATTACCGTATTGTGTTCCGTACGGATATATACGTATTGATCAATTACGCGCAAGTCGGGAAGCTTTTCGCTTTCGGATAAAACTTTACTTCTTAATGTTTCATAGTCGCTGTCATAGAATGCAGGTGAGTCTAAATCGATTTCCGGTCCAACAACTTCAAGAGAGGCGATTTCTTTGTCCGTGGGAAGTCGCGATAACGCGTCAGGAACCACATTATCTTTTCCTTTTCGATGTGGTACGGTAAACTTGTAGCCTTGAAGCTTTAATGCCCACCGAGCAAGACGTCCACTCAAATTTTGCTGACGCATAAGCCACACCAAGCTGGAATGGTCAGTGATGATTTCAAATTCTTGAAGTTCTAGATAGCACCTAAATTTTTCAATGGCGGTTATGGCGGCCAAACATTCCCTTTCGGTGACGCTATAATTTCTTTGCGCGGTATTCAGTTTTTTTGACATATACGCAACGGGTTTCTCACCACCTTCCTCTGACAATTGAACCAAAACGGCTCCAATTCCGTAATCACTAGCATCGCAATGTAGATAGAATTTTTTTGAAAAGTCCGGGTTTTGCAAAATCGGAGCAGAAATAAGTCACGATTTCAGTTTCTCAAACGCTATTTGAGCCTCATCTGTCCATACAAACTTTTTCTTGGTGGAGAGGACTTCAGTAATTGGAAAAGTGACTTCGGCTAAATTTTCTATAAATCTTCTGTACCAACCACATATTCCTAAGAAACCACGCACCTGCTTTAAATTGCGTGGAGCTGGCCAAGACAAAATGGATTCAGTTTTTGAAGGATCAGTGGCTATTCCCCCTTTTCCGATAACATACCCTAGATAATTAACTTCCGTTACACAAAACTGACTCTTACTAATGTTTAAGGTCAAATTTGCTTTTTTGAATTGTTCCGCAAGTCTTATTAATACGGCCAAATGGGATTCAAACGTATCAGATACTATGCACAGGTCGTCTAGATAACCGAACACACAATGACGGAGCTCTGGGGGAATAATTTCATCCATTAATCTGCACATGGTCGACGGCGCATTGCAGAGGCCGAATGGCATGACGACAAACTGGTACAAAGGCCGACCCGGTATCGTAAATGCAGTCAATGGTTTCGATTTTTCGTCCAATTCAATCTGCCAATAGGCGTCTTTCAGGTCCAGCTTCGTTATTATATTCGCCTTAGGTAGTCGGGCAAAAATACCTTCT